GAGTCCAGCTGTGAAAATAAGATGGGAGCTGTATTAGCTTTCTCCATTCTGTTTCTCACATTTAAGTGTTGTCAGTTGATGAGAGTTAGTCCCTTGAGAATTGTTGTGGGGAAGTTTAGTCCATGTAAAGTGAAAATTTTGCATCACATAGAGGATCTTGTGAAATTCTGTAAGGCAGGAGGACTACATGCTGAGATTCATAATGGCGAGGAAGAAACAGTAGAAACAGTAATCTGCCACATGCCCTTATCTAAAAGTGCTTCTTGAAAAAAGAAGGCAGTGTGTTTGCACTGTGGAAGCTATCAGAATCTGTCACATGTTTTAACAGTCAGTGTTTAGCAATGGATAAAAACTGGTAACTTTAGACTAATGTTGAATGAATATAAATCCCAATGGGCCAATTTTTTTCTTGCCTTTCACTTCTATTTCTGTTTCTAGTATTGTATAAATTTCCATTCTTGGGTCAAAAGCATTGTGAGCAAGAAATAAACTCCCTAGCAGAATTTATGTATTGAGAAATATTGAATTAAGAAAGCATATCACACTCAGTTTCTTTAAGACATTTGTTGCATGTCTATGCAAACCTTTTACAAAGCTTTTTGTAATCTCTCAGCTATTTGCCCTTTGTTTTCCAAATCATAGAATCACATTTATAACTCCAAAGAATTCTAAATTAATGTCAGTTTTTAATATCATGGTTTTACTGTGAACACAAGAGAAAGAATCTAAGTTAAGCAAAGAACAAACTTTTAAAGAAATCAATGCACTTCTGCTTCTTTTTAATTAGTATTTGCAGTCCTTGGCAAATATTTTAACTTCTGTTATTCAAATTCAGACCTATCTAAAAAGTAGTTTACTCTGTTTTAGCTCCACTCTCCCAGCTTTCCAAAGAATAGCATGCTAATGAATCAACCATTTCTGTCTATAAGGGATCTATTATGCTCTTGCAGACTACATTACACAAAATTATTGATTTAAAGTATGCAAAGGATGTATTTGATAAGTACGATTAGCCTCATCTCATAGTTTGGGTACCGCGTGATGTAAAAAGCGAGGGCAAATGATGGCACCCTTTTGTTGCGATGTCCTAAATGTAATCAAATGAAAGTTATGAGGATGTTGCCTCAGGCTGTTGTGCCTAAGAGCATAGCCTATGAGCCCACTTGTTTCCACAGCTCTGTGACTAGAGACTTGTGAGTAAGCAATGCTGAGGAAGTTGGATGTCACTGTCTGAAACAGTAATTTGTTCAAGATAACAATGAAAGCTGAAGCAAAGTCAATATAAAAATATTTGGGTTTTCCAATTCTCAGTTTTCAGTGCTGCTTAGAAGATCACGTTGTCTGCTGCCTAATAATTGCCATCAAAGCAACGTTTCAGCAACAAAAATAAAGTTCTTACATCTACTTGTCCTTTGAAAATATATAGTGAGAGTCATATTTATTGCTAGCATCAGGTCATGGCATCAGAAACACAGGTTCTATTATTCTTATTTTGTTGGGTGTATTTTACTGAATACTCCTGTGTAGAAAACAGTACTAGACCACATGCATAAAGGTGGCATATGCTTTCTGAATTGTTGACAGTGGTTTTAGCTTTTAAATAAATGACTAGTGGGCCAACTGACTTATCTACTATATTAAAGGAAACAGTGAGCTGTGCAGGTTTCCTCAGCAAGACATGAGGTGCTAGACTTACAGTACCCACTTGGAAAAAAAAGAAAAAACATCTTACGTGACAGTAACTAAAGCATTAGAGTTGATGAAGTGGAAAAGTCACAGCCGAGATCAGGGAAAGTAGAACCTCATATTCAGGATGGCATTAAAGACAATGAGTGGCATGGAAACTGAGGGCACGTCGTGTCACTCATTCCTTAATTTCTTCTGTTGTGATGGTTTTACTGTGCATTGTCATGGGATAGCGCCGTAACCTAATAAAATGTGCAGCTGATTAAAAAGCTGCTAATGATAAAAAGATCTACAATTAAACTAATAACTAAAGTAATTTACTTCCACTAAGAAGAGTGTCAATGTAGTTTAAAAATCAGTTCTGTGGAAATTTTTTTTTGTGTGAAATAAATTTAGCCAGCTCAGAAATGGAACAGAAAGCTTTTAGTAGTTCAGAGTAACAGAATGCCAGTTAATGACATAAAATGAAAGCCAAAAAATACTACTGGAATAAGAGAATGTGCAGTAAGTGCAATGGAATACCAGTGTCTTAAGATGCAGGCATTCATTGCTAGGGAAACTGGAAGATGAATCTGAAGTATGTGTGGCATTAGAACAGAAGGAGGGATGGTACTGGGTTGGAGCCAGGACTCTCCATGCGAGTTATCATCTGCAGAGAAGTAATGGAAGCACAGAATTGAAGGGTCATTGAAAAATGAAACAATAATAGCTGCTGTTTTAGACTGAGTGTACTCACGCCGGATACCGCTCAAGAAGTCTACCAACTCTGAAATTATCTTGAAACTTTTTATTGTAACTTGCTAACTTCAGCTACTGGCGCTGATTAAGTCCTGCTGGATAATAATGAAAGTGAAAAATATGGCATGGGGAGGAAAGTACTCTTTCCTGCAATCATCTGAGTTTTCTTGGAAGTTTCCCAACTAAAAACTGACCTGATCTGACCCTATTCAGTTTGTGAGACCGGATGAGATCACAGCCTGAGGTTATGGCACTGAACTAAGAAAAGTGATAACAAAACAAGAATGGCATGATTGACAGGGTAGTAGGCTGAGTACAATAAACCTATGGAGAACTGTGTGTCTGTATTCCACTCCTTAATATCCTCTTCGTAGATAAGAAAAATAAGCCTTACCTTGGAGCTAAAATAGTAATGGGATGAGGGCTGCCTGCATTGCTTGATGACCATAAACAATGTTATACAAAGATGGATTACTGGAATGGAAAGTGGGTACTCATGAGAAGTTACCTTGAGGCAGGACTGCAGCAAGAGCCATCCTGTGCCCTTGTGCTGTCTCCAGTTATCTCCTTTTGGTGGCCCTGTGCTTCTTAGTAAGCTGCAATATGACCCTGTGCAGTCTGGCTTTAGTGCTTTTCACTGTTGGGTTCACTGGGGCTATATAAGATTATTTTGTTTTCAAAAAAACTAAAAAGACATGTGAACAAGTCACTGAAAGCCTTTACAGATAAAAGAAGTAGTCTGCAGAAAGCTGTCTAAAGAGGTTTCTTTTGTAATGTACCAAAAGCAAGCAGCTATATATGACAATAGAAAAAATGGCAATAGAAGACTTATGTAAGGAAGCTTAGTTTTCTTTTTTGTCCATGTTTTTCACTAATCTTGACAGCTACTGAGACACATTCCATTAAGGTTGTGATGTAATTATATGGAACTCATTTGAGAGAGCTGTAATTACAGATTTTTCTCTTTGCATTGAGTTCAGTAAAATTTGAAAGTAACTTCAGAAATTAGGCATAGTTTTGATATTATTTTGTAGTGTGATGAATAGGGAGAAATTCCATTAATGTTAATGGAACTGCTCTAAATTGTTAGCAAATACTTGTAAGTTTTCAGTGCTAAGAGCCTCTGTATGTTAGCTCTTTGGAAAACTAGCTGTTTTGTAAACGACTCACTTCTATAGATTATTTTATAAGTTATATAATTTTCTCTGAAAGTAATGCCTCCTATTTATTTCCATTGAAACTGCAACAGATACAAAGAACACAATAACACTATTTGATAGAGCAAATTTTCAGTAAAAAAAAAAGACTATTTCTCAACATAGTCACCACTGTTAGCGATGCATTTTCATAAGTAATGAGCCTGTATGACATGCTTGTAAAAAGCTGCACCAGCTAAGGTACTCAACTGTTTTTGTCACTACTGCTGAAACGCATCACCCACTGCCTCACTGTGCTCACATCCACTTTTTGGTTTCCTTAAATGCATCAGTGATGTCAATGGATGCCATTTTTTCCACCTGGAGGAATTCAGTGACACAACTTTGCTCCATGCGCACTTCCGTATCAGCCACCACTGTGTCATGCTGCCCTTCTGCTGGAATCTGTCACATGGCAACAATGTGGAATGGGATGTTGGTGGGAAGGTTCAACCTCTACTGTACCACTAACATCCACCTCTGACCTCAGACATCTGGCCAACATAATACTTTCAGTGGGTGTTACTTTCAGAGCAGCCTATGTATATGAAAGTTGAAGGTCCATATAGGTGGCATCTTTGCTTGGAACAAGCTTGCAACAGAGCTGGGACAGATCAGAAGTCTCTGAAGACTTTTTTACTCCTGTACTTCAGTTGAAGATGGGAATTCAAATACACTTCCTAAGAATTCACATTAGAATCTTCCTATTTTAGAGATTTAGTGCAGTTTTGGATTTCTGGCTGTGAAGTCCATTTTCTGTTGAAACAGAAAAGGGTGTTTCTGAGAGAGCACGAAGTTCCATAGAGGGGAGAATAATTGGAGTAAAATCATAAATTAATCAGAGTTGTTGCTAAGTTGTTGCTGATTAAATAGGTTTTAAGCTAGTTCTAGTGAGGATCTCCCCATTTTTCTGTCTCCACTAAATTCGATATAAAGGTCACAAATATTTGGTTTATTATTTTTGGTGCAACCCTGAATAAGGGGTTTTTCTTTCTTATTAAAAATATGAAATGATTGTCTTCTGTGCCTTCAGAGGACATGAATTAATTTGGAAAGCAAAAGACCAGTTTTCTGGTGACTCCAAATTACTGTTTTATCTTCCTGTGATGAGTACTGTGAATGTTATGGTCATACATTCTATATGAAATTGAAATGCAGTAAGACATAAAATTATTTTAGTACAGTTATCTCAGTTGCTGCAAAATACTACCTGCAGTCAAATTTGCAGGCATAGTTTTGCAAGTACTGAGAAGTCACTTGCTCCCTGGGAATAAAATCACTACTGCAGGGACATCTAAAATCTGGAATACAAATCATTTTATAAAGGGAAAGTGGTCCAATTCAAGTCTTTGTTACTAAATTCATGTCTACACTTTTCAGGCATCTGATCTACTTCTTGGGAAAGATATTGGACAAATCCATGATTAGAGCCTTTGTAATGTAAACCATCCCTACTGCGTTGGAATTGATTACACACATTTGGTGAAAGATGATTTGAATGGTAAGTCACTTAGTCATATTCTCGTTTTCACACATCATTCAGCTTCCTACTGGCCTTCTGCTCATTCTTTTCTCTGTTCTCGCAGCAGTATGCACAGCATGTTCCCACCATTGTTCAGCATATAGTTTAAGATGATATTAAGATAGAAAGATCAGTGGGAATGTGCAGAAAATGCTCCCGCTGAAATGTCTGTACTTCTCAATTGCACAGATAGCTAAAACAGCATTTAAACATCCCCAAGGAAAACAGGGAAACCTGCAGAATTTAATGGAGAGATGAACTAATTGCTGCAAATAATTATGAAGTCCCGGCCTACAAGTGGCTGGCATGCTTTGTTTGCCAGTGCAGTTTGAGGGAACTGAGAAGACTCAGCAGCTGCATCTCTTGTATTTCACCACATGGACAAATAAACTTTGCTTTCTACTATGTAAATATCTGAAGCTGAAAATAAGAGAACTGAGCCAAAATTGAACCTTGGCCTCAATTCTAAATCTGCATCAAATTTATCTTTTTATAATCACTAGTCTAAGTTTCGTCATATGAACATGGTGAACCATGAGATTCTAAATTCCTCAGATTCTAAACTGTTTTGATTGTCCTTCTGCAAAGACAGTATCATAGGAAGATTCAAATCCCGTAATTATGAGCTCCACAGTTTTCTTTTTCTTCCTAAATTCTTGCATAGAATTACAACCAGCCTCTCATCCTGACATTTAAGTCACTTAGACATCAAAAATTAAGATTGCTTGTTTTCATTGAAATAATATTGGCTGAACTGCATGACAACATTTCCTTACCCCATAGTTACCCAGAGACATGGTCTTAACAGTATTGAGGCTTTTTCATTGTGACAAGGCTGTGTACTGACAGCTGAGAAAAACACCTCTAACTACATCAGAATCTTGATTAAAAATATTTATCCAGAGTCTGAAGGTGCAGAGTGGTGCTCCAGAAGCCTTCTCAGCTGTTCCTCAGTACATATGACTTATATCAGCATGGCATAATGCAGTTCTGAGTCAAGAAATGTGGGCTGCTGAAATGAAGAACTGGCAGTATAGCTACCCTAGCATCAAGCTCTTCTTAGACTTATAAAGCCTGTGGTTCTTGTAGAATACATGCTTGGCCAGTTGAGGCTCCCTGTCCAAGCTTAAAATGCGGGTACAAGATTGTGAGGTGGGAGGATGCAGCAAGGCAGCGTGGAAGGTACACGGAAGTACTGTCTGAGAACGCATTGGGCTAATTGATACGAAACTATGCTCTCAGCCTGCTCCTTGTAGCTGAAAACCTCCTTTCCAAAAACTTTATATAGAGCTGATGAGACCTTCTATTCATTCTCTCACTGCATCTCTGCTTAGATTTCTGTTGAATTAAGAGTATGAGCAGTACTGCCCCAACAGGTGGGAGCATTACAGGAATCTCCTAAACTTGTCAGAGAAGCAGTATCTTTAGAAATCTTGATGGTTGGACTGGAAGATCTTGGAGGTCTTTGCCAACCTGATTCTATGAAATTGTATCTCAGTAGGAGCAAAAAGTGCTAAGGTCTTCCAGGCTGAGTATCAGAGCTCTGTGGACCTAAGGTAAGAGGGACATCTGGTTTGTCTTCTCTTATGACAGGGCAGAATCTCTCCAGTTATCCCAATTTTGTTCTGTATATCAAGTGATAATCATGTAAGAGAGGAAGAATTGTAAATGCTGTGCTTTGTACATGATTCCCATCAAAGCTCTGATATTTGCAGCAAGTGGGGCTCTATATTTGCTTCTCTTATGGGCATATTAAAGATCTGAACAATCACTCTGCAGCCAGTGAAGCCACCTTCTAGTAATGTATTCCAGTCTTGGAAAGATATAATGCGCCTGCTGTGTGGACTGAAGGGAGCACAACGGAATTTCTTCCCTGCCTCTGCTTCAGGCAGTGTTCCCTAGCATTCCTGCTTTCTGGTAAATAAATCCATGCATAAATAAGACATTAAAAATAATTACTTTTTGATAATTTTTTTAGTGAATATTCCTATTTGCTCAGGGCTCTCTTTGATTCCCCTGAAGCCAGATATGGCCCATATACAATGAAAAAAATGAGGCAGTCTGCTCAACGTGCAAGACTCTTTATATTCTAGCAGTAAGAATCAAGCAAAAAGAAAAGGACTTTTTTCTTCCTTTGTCTTCCAGCAATGTTAGCTTAGACAGCCACCAGCACATGAACATTTACATAAGGAGGGAACTGCAAAGCTGCTGCCAACTGCCCATAGTGCCTGCCAAAAACAGATGTTAGATGTTACTGCTAGAGTAATGTCTTCTTCAGCCTGACATGTGAGTGCTGCAATTTTTATTTAAAAGGAAGAAGAAAAATATGGCTGAATTAATGAAATGAAGCACACAACATATGGTCTGAAAAAATTAGAATGAAAGGGAAAGTGCTGGTTGTCCAATCGCCTAAGACTGCTAAAACTTAGCTGGGTGGATTTCTAGCAGAGAACTGCCCTGGACTGTTGAGTAGCTGAATCTCATCATCTAATTGGTCTGCTTAACTTTTACAATTTTGCTCCGTACCTTCAAAGTGATTTTTAAATAGTTTCCTAAAGGCAATGATTAAAACTGCAAAGCTCTGTATTGATCAAGAGGATGATAAAACCAGCATGCTCTGTTAGCAAAAAATCTACACATGCTAAGCACCAGACAATATTATCACAAGAACTGTGAATTATGCTTGGATTTTTCTGTCATTTTCTATAGTCTGTAGGATTCCTACAGACTATAGAAACACAGCTGAGGTAAATCTTTTGTGTTTTATTTGTCAAGCATTTCATTCATATATTTTATTCAAAAAGAAGAAACCTATCTCCAAAGGTGAACTATAGTACAGCTTCTTACTTTGTTTACCTGTCTTCGAGCAGAAAACAGCCTCTATAGAACTCAAAGACTGACTTACACTGAAGTCAGCATTTTATAGTCAGCTGATATGAAATTGTATATGGATACTGGATCTGTAGGGTCAGCAGAAATAATGAATCCTCCTTTCTTGCATTTGTGTTTTGAGACTAGTTTACAGGGACTCAGTGATACCTAGAAATAGCTAGTTCATTCTTAGCTCTTCTGATTAGTAGTCACACTGTTTTACTTGCGAGCCATGAGTTTCTTGAGTTTAACATTTCCGAGTCCTCTGTTCCTTGCCAAAATGCTGTCAGAAGTAGTTAAAAATATAAGGGGAAATACAGACAACCACACAGGCTCAAATACTTCATCATTGCATCAGCATTTTTTCTTCACAAATCATGGCTAAAGTGGGGTCAAATCCTCAGCTTTCATAAGCTGTGATTTCATCGCAGGCACTGCAGTGAAAGCAATTTGCACCTACTAGGTGTCCATCCCAGATGACTACGATACCAGGCAGAGCCTATCCGTCTCCCACTGCAGGAGCAGCTTACACAAACCACCTTGCAGTTTTTAGAATTTTGACTTGAAGCTGTTGTGGAAAAAAGGCAGCTGCCTAATTGCACAGCTGCCTGCCTTGCACGGGCTCGTGAACAAAGTGCCACCTTCTGCTTTTGAAGATAAGATGGGACAAGAAAGTGAGTGCCTTGTATCCTTCCTACCCTCTTTTCTTTTCCTTGGCTAGGAAAGAGGGTTGTCAGGCTCTTCCCAGGCAGATTTGAGTAAGATAGGTTCTGCAGACAGGTCACTGCTGACAGGAGGAGAACCCTAGTCCCTTTCTTATCACACCTGCTATGCCTGTGGCAAGGTCTGATGCTGCTTTGCTCCTATAGGGTGCTAATTTACTTGATTGACATGGCATTCTGTGTGTGAATTGTTACTTTTTGTGAATTTGATTAACTAATTCAGCCTAGAGGAGAGTCAACACATAGCAGGACTTCCTTCAGAGAAGAGGAAGAGGGGATAGGCTCATACATTTTAGTAATGCTGGTGTATTGGGTTGGCTTAGCCATCTTACTTAAATACACCAGCTGTAGGGGAACTATTAGGGGCCTGAACTGGTAATTGAGCACCTGGTGAAGGGGAAAGATTGCTCTGGGGAGCACACGTGCAAGCAATTCATCTATGCTTCCCATGTGACCAGAAGTCACAGGGGCCACCCCTCCCTGGGCTCATTTAAGGGCTAGCCTCCAAAGGGAGTTTTCCTGGCTGATGGCTGTTTTCTGGTAAGCAGTGCTCTAGAGCTATGAGCTCACCTAGTCAGACAGGTAAGACAACTTTTTCCTGCATCTGGTTGCTTTTTTTCTAATGGTGCTTTGCTTGGTATTGTGTAGAACTTATCAGAAGCAGTTTCTCTGTTTCCAAGGATGAATATCAACAGATTGCGTTGAGATGTTATCACTGCAGGAGAGTGGCACAGAAGCTACACTCTGCAATATGCTTTCAAGAACTCTTGAATAATCTTGGCTTTTGCTCATCCTGCTTCTTTAAGTGTTTTTCATCTCTTTCTTCTCTCAAACTACTGTCTCTTTCTCCTGTGATTTGTAGTGGACATGCAGAAAGAAACAAAAAGTAAATGTATACTAATGTAACTCTATAGAGAGACAGCAGCAACAGCAGTGATGCAGAACTTTTGCTGAACACAAAACATGGTGTGTTTAGCTGTTTGTCTTTTTCCTTTGCATCTTCCTATCTAAGGAAGTAATTACTGTTGAATTATATGAGAACTAAATATCTGTAGAGAATGACTTGGCCCTATTAATTATGGGTCTCCATAAGAAAAAGAATAGGTCTAATGTGTTGTCAGACCTTTTTAGCCAACAAATATGGGACTCATTGGTATCAAATATCAATAATAGCTTTTGTTAAATTCAGATTGGTGACCTCCGACAAAAATTATAGGAAGAACTTGTGTCTACATAATGTGTAATATATATTAAAGAAATATTTTTATAGACTACTAAGATGTTAGGTAAGGTCAGTCTTATTTTCTTAGGTTGTCATACAAGGGGTTAAAGCTGATACTTACTGAATTATTGTTTGCAACAAGTCAAGAATGAGTAAGGCTTTAA